ATAGTTGCATTCTCTTAATGAATAGAATGATTTGTTCTAATGGTGTTTGTAAATAGGATCACAAGTCTGCATCTTGTACAGCAGTTAACCACTAAGAAGAATATATGCAGTGTATTATTTGTTGAAACTGTACTTCTGATTTGATTTGAAACTGTCTCATTGCTATCTGTTTATCAATAAAACTTTGAAAAAAAAAAGAATACATCTCTGTAGCTATCCTAGGTACCCAGACACTATCTGTAATATTTATTTCTATGAATAAATGTGTTTTGGTTCACAGATGGCTCCTTACACTGTGTCCACATGTGGCCAAAGGGGTGAACAAAGTAGTTCTCTGAGGTCTCTTTTGTAAGGGCACTAATCTCACTCATGAGGGTTTCATCCTTATCATCTCATCCCTCCCCAAATCTCTACCTCCTAGTACCATCCCACTAGAGATCATTTCGTCCTATGATCTCAGACCATTTCATGCTCCTAATCTGCACATCATTAGATGCATATTTATTCCTGCATCTACTTCCTGAGAACAGACTCTGTAATCCTTCAAGGCTAAGATTTGTTCTTACGGGGTGTTTTTGATTTTGGTTTTGGTTTTGGGTTTTTTTTTTGGTGCCAGGGATTGAACTCAGGACCTTGCATTGCCAGGAAAGTGCTGTTTTGTCTTTACTAGACAGTGTCCTACTACATAGTTAAGGCTGGCCTTGAACTCATTTTGTAGCCTAGGCTGGCCTTGAACTTATGGCAATCTTCCTGCCTCAGGGTCCCAAGTGCTAGGATTACAGGTGTGTGTCACCATGCATGGCCCTTTGCTTTTAGTATCAACTAAAAAACTTGAAATGAAATAAAATAAGGTAAGAAGGAAAAGGAAAAGGAAAAGAAAAAGAAGGAAAAGAAGGAGGAGGAGGAATAAATGGAAAAAGGGACCAAGGAATGTGTAAGTGTTCCTTCTTGTCTTGCCTCAGTCCTCCACTCCCAATGCAGCAGAATGAGCTTCAGATTCAAATTAACATGAAGAGGTAATGGAAGTTGTCACTGTTGATCAGCTGGCATAAAGATGGGCAAACTAAGAGCACATTCTGGCTCAAGGTTCAGTGACAAATTGTCCCCAGCTTCAAAAATCTGTGTTCAAAAGAACCGCACACCTGGAGAACAGCTGCTGAGAAATAAACGTTTATTTAAATGAGAGAGAGAAAGGGAGAAAGAGGAAGGGAGGGAGAGAGAGAGAGAGAGAGAGAGAGAGAGAGAGAGAGAGAGAGAGAGAGAGAGAGAGAGAGAGAGAGAGAGAGAGAGAAAATATGAGAGAGACAGAGAATATGAGAGAGACAGAGACACACACAGAGAGAGGCAGACAGACAGACAGACAGACAGACAGACAGACAGACAGACAGACAGAGAGAAAGATCTTTCATGAATCTTTCCTCACTCTATTCATAGTTTAGAGACATTAGGCTTTGAGAAACCACACTATTTAGACTGGACCAATTTAAGATATATCTCCATACAAGGCTTTCACACTAATATAACCTGGTGTAGATGTCAGCACCATACAGTACCATGATGGACAAAAGAGAAAAGCCAGAGATGCTGGAAACATTTTCTAGACCATTCCAGGAAGAATAGGGCTGCCCAGAGGGTGGGGCACAGTCCACAGCCTGCCAGCGCCTTTGTGGCACCATCTGTCTGTAGGACAGCTCAGCTGTTCTCAATAGGACAGAGCTGAAGAGCTTTGTTTACACTGCCAGTTTTTGCTCACTTTGGTGAATCAAGTACTTAGGAGGAAAGAGTATTCCCCCAAGAAAGAAAGCAGAAGCCGTCCTTCTAACAAAGGAGTCTAGGGGAGGAAACAAACATGTGAAGGCATTCTTTTTGTCCCAAACAACTGCCAAATTCTGCACGTTCATCTAGAAGCATGGATAGGATAGTGTAGGTAGTGTTTCTGTGGCACAGGAAGAGATGAGACTCCACTTCTTCCCAGGAGACCACAGGGAACTTAGAGATCAACAGCTACTGCAAGGCACCCCACGAGTGCCCCTTCTCCTGACTCACTGTCCTATGCCTCCCCCCTGCAGAGGGTCAGGGCAGCCTGGAAGCTGGTATAGCTGTACACTGGTTCGTTCTCTAGTGGTGTTCTTGTGCTATCTCCAAAGGGTAGGGTCCACAGCTGTATCCACAAAGAGCACAGTTATCCAGAGCATGAGCCATATTAGAACAAGAGAAGTTGATTAATAAAGGGTATTTTAGCCAGCATGTTCCTTCAGAAAAGAGGAAGGTAAGTCTGGGCTGGCCAAATAGCTCAACAGATTAAAGTGCCTGCTTAGACAGAGTGCAGCAGCCAGGGTTTGATCCCTAGGCCTGCCGTGCGTGGCCCGCTTCTGGGGCTCACTGAGATGGCAAGTGAGACTAGACATTAGTGGCACGCACTTGTAATCCCAGCACTTGGGAGGCTGTAAATTAGAGGATCACTATGAGTCCAATCTATGCAGTGAGACCCTGTACACCCTATCTTAAATACAAAAAAAAAAAAAAAAAAAAAAAAAAGGAAAGAAAAAGAGGAGACTAAGTCTGATCCAAGCAGCACAACCAAAGGTTTTTAAGGTGTAGTCTATGCATGAAGAGCAGATTAAAAAAAAGTATGTTGCCCAAACCACAGCCTCAGAGGCAATAGAAGCCAAAAAGTATTTTTTTCAAAAGATATTTTAAAACAGAATCCAGTTTTTAACAGTCACACAGATCTCTCTCTCTCTCTCTGACTCTCTCTCTCTGTCTCTCTCTCTCTGTCTCTCTCTCTCTGTCTCTCTCTCTCTCTGTTTTTTTCTAACAACATATTTGCCCTTTGTTTCTCCTTGGTTCATTACATTTTCTTTTTTTGGGGAGGTGTACTGGGAATTGAACTCAGGCTCTTGTACTTGCTAGGCAGTCACTGTGCCACTGAACTATATCCTCAGCCCTTAAATTATCATTAAATTATTAATCTTATTTTCTATTTGCTTCCTAACATGAATGTAGCATTCCATCAAATTTACTTCATATCACTCTTTCAGGTAGAGAATATTGCTAAAGTTCATCTCTTCCCCCAGTCATGTGTCCTTCCTCATTGCTGAGAAGGAAGAAGATACCGGTGTACGGTTTCTACAATTTTATGCATTTATTGCATACACAGATGTTCTTAGATGCTTAAGCTGTTTCGTATTTACATCTATACGAATGGATTCATGCTATATTGTAGATAAGGTTTGGTAGCTTTTTTCATCTGCTTTTATATTTTTTAGATTTATTTATGTTAAAATGTGATGCTAGTTCATCTTAACATTTATATTGATTTTCAAAATGTAAACTGAGAAGTCTTCTGACAATGGTACTCCTGAAAGATGTGGTACTGTCCCAAAGACAGAAGAGAATAGTGTGCATAGTTGTAAAACCTACCAACACCCCAGAACAGTCAGAACCATGTAGCTTTTCCACCTTGAAAAGTACTTTATACTTTTGAAATCATTGTTTAATTATCTAATTCAACCTCACCCAAACCTACGAGTCTAGTGGGGGTTCAATTCTTCACTTATAGGGTGAAGAGATGGACAGTGGTTGGTCAAGATCCTTTTCATAGCTGAGTCAGATCTGCTATTCCAGTTTTGCAGGTAGTCAATCCAAGCTCAGAAGTACAAAGAGACTTGTCTCTTATCATGGTCCTGATTAAGGGTGGAAAACACTTACCATCTTAGTCACCTCATCCCTTACACAAGGAGTGACCCATTACTCCCACAGGATGAAGCTTATTCCAGTATTTTGGCTCCTGCTAATAAAAGCATCACTTGCACACAAAGATAAACTTTATTTAACCACTTTTATTGATAAGAGTATTGGAATCTGATTCTATTGTATGTCAGTGTTATCAGATTTTATTGCTAGAGACCAGTTTCTGTTACAGAAATGAGAGGCAGAATCCACTTACTTAAAATCATTATTGCTATTACATGCAGAAACACTGATTTATCAGAATTTGTGTCTAAAATTGTAGCCAAAGGAAAGTGGCCCTTTTCATCGCATATGAAGCCCCTTTCCAGCAATAGCTAAAATGGCAGCGATGCAAACATCCGACACAGCTGCCATGAAATTCTTCACCAGACCTGCGCCCCCCCCCCCAAGTAACCATGCAGGGCGATGCTCCCTTCGGGTGACACAAACAGTATCACTTTTGTGCGCTCAGTCTCATTGTGTCCCACATTCTGTGGACTCAGGCAGGCCCGGCAGGAGCTGGGAGGACTCTGTCCCCATCCTGGGCACTCTGGCTTCAGGACAGGTATGACTCACACAAGTGTTTACAATGGCTGCCCACTCTATTTCCTCAGAAACAAAATATACTTGAAGTATTATGCAAAATCCTCTGGCAATCCCTGCAATATGTGGATTTTTTAAAATTAAAATAGAGAATGTTAGGTAAATGCCATATGAATACACTAATATTTCAGCTCCTAGCTTATAACATAGAAGGATTTGTTCCTATTACTATTGAGAAAGGTTGCAAAACATTTTTGTTTCCTGCCTTGGCTGATGAGTCTGATTCCTATCAATTCCAAGCCTGGATCACTGCCTTGCACATTAGAGGCTTCACAAGCATCTCAAAAAAAAAGAATTAATGCACAGGTGCTAGGGCCTGTGGGGTACAGCCAACATCTACTAGTTTTACAGCTTACAGGAGTCAGCAAAAAAAGGGTGGGGGAAGAATTCACTTGACAAGTACAGAAACAGAGAAAAACAATCTCTAAACAGTCCCCTAACAGCCATTAACATTGAAAATGAGTACCTATGAGAATGTACGCAGTCTTCACATTCCCTATTATTTGTATGGTTCATTAAGAAACCTTCAATGTTACAACCTATATATCGTCTAAAGGTTCTGCACCCTACATCACTGTTTCAACTGAAGAATTGACACCTAACATTGAAAACAGACTTCTTTAAAAACAGTATTGTTTGTGGGGACACAAAGCTTGTGTCTTCCCCCACTAAGACCCCTGAGTGATGGATATACCTGGGCATAGATAGGCTTTGGACAGTGCCAAGTGCTGCCCCAGAAGTACTGTACAGGTGACAAGATAATGTCAGGTGAATGGACATCCCAGGCAACAGGGTGAGCTGCCTTGGACCTGGGGCTTCTGTGCCATGATACCCAGATAACCATGAAAACCACCAGCAATGCTGTAAGTTCCCAGCCCTGTGTGGCCTCCCTCATGGTCCTTGACTCATCTGTCTTGAGAGTACCTTTGAGAGAGGTTAGTGAAAAAAGGAAAACTGGACAGGTGGCCCACCCTAGAGTGAGAACATCCTTTCTGGAGGACCAGTACAGAGTCATACCTATGACTGTGACCTGAGACGCTGACCTCACTGAGGCTAGGAGACCTTATCCAGAATTCAGGAGAGAAAACCAAAGGCGACAACCGAGAGGGACTCAAAAGAGCATTATTCTATCTATAATAATAACACCATTTCAGACAAACACAACCCCCTGCAGCCAAGGCTAGGCACAAGAGCAGCAGCCAGGCTAGCAGCCAGTCCACCTGGCCACCTGCTGCAGTTCAGTTGTAGGAGAGGTAATCAATGAGCCGGGGAGGGATGTTTAACTTGGCAATTTTCTCCAGCCCTCGAACACCAGTGGCTTTCCTTAGGCTCACCCTGCAGAGCTGTGTCAAGGTCAGAGGTGTCTCTGGAAAAAAGGGAAAAGGGAATCTGTGAGGTTAAATGAGTTTCAAGAAGGAGTGCACCCTATCATCTAATTGATATCATCTAATTAGTGCACCCTGCTCTAAGATGGAATAGGAAAGGTGTCCCTTTGCTCTGAAATTAAGATGCACTAGCAAGCCTCCTCTGGAAGGTGACAGAAAGGATAGCCAGAGATTGAGGAAGGAAGACCAGTAAAAAGACAGCCATAGATTTCATGTTGTGAGTTTTCAGTGTAAAGGATGGGATTTAGTTTGTTTTTGCTTTGGTGGGATTTTTGGTTTCTTGCTTGTTTTTTGAGCCATAATGCAATCATTCAGCATGAAGATTTGTCAGCCAAAAACTACTCTGCAGCTAGTAAGGCTCTTGTGTCAATCATCTGGCCAAACGTGTCAGAGCAGGTGCCAGCAGCAGGCTCCTGCTGCTCCTGGCCCCACTCCTGTCATGACACCACAGGGCACAGGAAACCAAAGGACTGGTGATCTGCATAAATAACTACAAAGTACACAAATGAACACACTAGTGGACAAAGGCAGGAGCCCAGGATAAACACTAAGCTGCCATCAGAAACGCAGGGAGAACTAGCAAATAGCAAACCAGGAGGCCTAGCTAAAGGATGGAGGTGCCTGGCAGCTGATGCATAGAACATTTGCAGAGCAAGCTCACTTTCATAGTACTCGAAGCACTTGGCAGGGGCGCTGCTGCTCCAAGTGTAATCTGACGGCTTCTTTCCCCGGTTGTCCCGGGCATAGATGTTGCCTCCAAACTCAATAAGCATCTCAATGAGGTCGACATTTTTCACTTTGGCTGCATGATGAAGGGCTGTCTCATGAAGTTTGGCTGCATTCACATTGGCCCCTGGAGGTCCAGAGGGGAGAACACATGTCAGCTTGACCAGAACTTGGAAGCAAGAGAAAAGCAGGCTCATGTTTCTATGTTCAGTACAGTGTGCGAAAGCAATCCTTACCCAAAACACAAAAGCAAGACAGGCAGATGCTGCTGTAGCTTTTCAAGACATTTTTCAAACTACAAGGGTAGTAATTTTTTTCTTTCTTTATGAAAAGAGAGGGGAGCAATAATAAAGAAATGTAACTTCAAAAAGAAGAAAAACAAAACAGGGCTGGTGAGATGGCTCAGTGGTCTAAAGCACCTACTTAGAACAAGCTAAGCAAAAGCACAGGGACCGTAGTTCAATCCCCAGCACCACATGCCAGCCAGCCCCGCCCCCTGGTGGGCTGAACTGGCCACACACACACAAAATAAATAATAAATATTTTTTGAAAAAACAGAAACATCACTTCTGGCATCCAGTGCAGTCTGCTTTCAGAGACCCGTGGATTTCTGGAAGCTCAGATTGAGCCACCTAAGTGCTCCTGCCTGTCTGAAGACAGACACACAGAGCTCCTTCCTACCATGTGCGCCCTGGGCTCCAGATGTATTGACTGAATGCAAGGGTGGCTATTTCTTACATATAAATGTTCTCCTATAAAATGAAACAAAGGGAAAATACGCAATGTTCCCAAAAGATTAACTGAGTTGAGCTTTGCTCTCTTTATCTTTCTGGGGATATTCAGAAAGATGCGTTAAAAAATGAAAATTTTGATAAAAGTTCTATTTGTGTAAAATATCATTTCAGGGCAAGTCATTACTGATTCCATACAACACAATCTCCTGAGGCTTCAGAATTTGTTTGGAAAAACTACTGATGTCTTTGAAGTCTACTCCTGACTACATAAGGAGATTATAAAAGGAGATAAGAATATTTTAAAGAACCTGAGCAAATAGCCCAAAACCAAAACAATAACCCCCCAATAACGGATACAAACCACAACATAAAATGTGTCACCAGCCTGCCACTACTTAGCAGTAATTTTAAAAAGGTAAGAGAGTGGGTAAATTAGCAGGTATTCAGGCCATTGCATGAGTTCTACTGCTCAAAAAACACATGAAAATTTTGCTTTATTCTTTAAAATATTAACTCCCTAAAGACACATGAGGACTATGTTTATGACAGTGAACACAGCAAGCACTCCAAGCCAATCATAGAAGTGAAGCTCTTCGATTTCTTGCAACTAAAATCCAGAACTTAGGTGAAGAAAGAGGAACTCTCACTCAGGAAAAAGGCTAGATCACCTAATGATTTAATTTGGCAAAATGAATTACAAAATATATATTTAAAAGTAATAAATCAAATAGAAGAAATAGTTTCCTCATAAGCCTCACATCAAGAGTTTTTCTTTCAATATTTACCTATAGGGATGAGTAATTTTTATAGTAGTGCCGTTATAATGCAAGTGTAAATTTAGGAATCAAACTTATAAAAAATGAAAAATATCAGACTCTAAAAAAGCAACTTCCTGGTTTTTTGTTTTTGTTTTTGTTTTTTTTTGTTTTTTTTGTTTTTGTATTTTAGGGAAGGGTCTACAGAGTGTTCAGGGTCTCACTACTAGATTAGACTCATAGTGATCTGGCTGTTTACAGCCTCTCAAGAGCTGGAATTACAGGTGCATGTCACCACGCCCAGTCTCAATTGCCATCTCAGCGTGCCCCGGGGGGTGGCCAGCTCCAAATAACTTTCGATCATGTTATTAATTCTGGCAATATTGCCAAGTAAGAATGAAAGTAATTGTCTTTGTTTTAACGATGGAGAAAAAAGCACAAGCAAAGCAAAACTACTCTCTCAAGTTCGGAAGGGAACAGATGCTGGCAGAAGCTCTAAAGGCCTCCCTCCTTTTCTTGCTTACTATCATGGCTCCAGAGGCAAGGTCTTGGGTGATCACTCTTTCAAACTGGCCTTCCCAGGGTACACAATCACATCTTTTCAAAACCCGTGCTTAGCATTATTTGACTGAGTGTTAAAGGAACAAAAGGTAAATAAAGAGGGAGGCTGGAATGAGCAGCAGCGGTTAGAAACACCACACCACCTGTGCACACTGCAGGGTGGATGGGTTTGAAAATATAGTGTTGGTGAAAATAGAAATGGAAAATATATAACCCCAAAATATTTATGTGCATTAAAAATGTAGGCCTCAATCGATAATGGGTATTTTACAAAAGCACAAGAGATAAAAACACATTCAAATATATTTTAGGAAAGGAAGATCAGAGACACAGGAAGGAAAGAAGGAAGGGAGGGAGGGAGGAAAAAAGCAAAAAAGCGGCTTTGTGTAGAGCAATGATGAAGTAGAAGTATGAGAAACAGACAGAGACAGAGCAAGGAAGCCAGCAAAATGAACAGCTGCGTTTAAAAACCTCAATTTCATGCTTCAAAGAAAAAGGTCAAATTTGGCTCACTACTGAACTCCTGATTTCAAAATACAATAGGATTAAAGTGGATTCAGAATAGAACTATGGGCATCAAAGTGAAGGATCGCCCTAAGATGTCCTTAGCCCATGCTAAAAGAAGACACGGCCCCAGAACATAAATACACATAGTTCAATATATGCTTTTTGTAACAAGAAACTGGGAGGAAATATGTGACAAAGACTGCGAAGTCCTCAACTCGCTGCTTCTGAGTGCTTCCAGCAGAGTTAAATATTTACTGTTAGTGATCAAATTAAAAAATTACTTCACCAGATGAACTGGACTTCCAGCCGCACCAGCCCTCCTTGTCAGCAAATACAACCTAGCTCTTTAACCCAGCCTTACTGCCTACAAAAAGAACAGAGAACACAAGGGTCTCAGTGTCCACTCTCTGGGTACAATATGGCTGCACAGCTTGGCCTCTCAAGCAAAGCCAGGGCTACACTGAAGTCACATGAAAGAATACCTGTTGGCATGTTTTTCTAGAGGAAACACAACATTTTCTAGCTTTTCCAAGTATCCTATAACTCAATTCCAATAATTCAGAATCACTACTTATCAAAATCCATTTGTGGGCTGAGGATAGTGGTGCACACCTGTAATTCCAGCACTCAGGAGGTGGAGGCAGGAGAATCACTACTGTTAGCTCAACCCAGCCTGAACTCCACAGTGAAATCCTGTCTCAAAAAAGCAAAAATAAAGTACATAAGGGTATGTAAGCTACCTCTTCTCTCTATTTCTCTAGGTTTGAGACATTTCACAGTAAAAAAAGGACTTTCTAAAAGAAAAAGAAAAGGAAAATACACTTGATCCAATAAGGTCTAATGAAAGAAAACATTGAGAAGACTAGGACCGCCATTGAAGATTACGCTTGAAGTCGAAAGCTGCTCACATCAAAAAGCATCAGACTGAAACTGACAATATCATGAAGGAGATTTCCCCAAAAGGCTTATTCATCTTTAACTTCCCAGTTAGATGGAAACTCCCCTCAAAAACTACCTGATAATCTTTCTAAAAGCTATAATGGACATTACAGTCTTTTCCCACTTCTCCCCACTGTGTGGCCACCTGACAACATGGGCTGAGAGAGCCCGCCTCACCTCAGCTCCAAGTGTGGTTCCTGACTGGTTCAGCCTCCCTCCCCTTCCACAGTGACTGATTCAAGCAATCCAGGATTGAGCCAATCAGAAACACTGCAGCCAAAGAAATCTGCTTAAATTTAGGTGTGGCATACAGTTTGGGCAGATGGAACAATAGGGCAGGTATGCTAGATACTGTCTAGAAGGATGGTTTCCCTGTTCTAAAGAAACTACCAGAGTGGCCAGGGAGATGGCTCAGTAGAATAAGTGCTTCCTTGGCAAGTGCAAGGGCCTGAGTCCAATCCCAGGTTCCGCCAAAAAAAAAAAAAAGAAAGAAAGAAACTACCAGAGCCTTAAAAAGTGAAATGTCAGGGCTGGTGAGATGGCTCAGTGGTCTAAAGCACCTACTTAGAGCAAGCTAAGCTAAGCAAAACACAGGGACCGCGGTTCAATCCCCCAGCACCACATGCCAGCCAGCCCCACCCCCTGGTGGGCTGAGCTGGCCACACACACAAAATGAATGAATGAATAAATAAATAATTCTAAAAAAAAAGTGAAGTGTCTGGGTTTCATTTAACCACTGTCTTAATAGCTAACTCTGAAGAAAACAAAATTGAAAGTTCAAAGGATAGAGGTCTTAATGACACTATTGAACTGCCTACCATCTTTCCAAACCAAGAAAGATCTTCAAGGTTCACTTAGCTGTAACTGGTTTCTTATGTCAGCCCTCCATAGGTGCCATCTGTATGGGGTCAATCAGTGGAAGATCAGAAATACTCAGAAGAAAACATGGCCTCTATGCTGAACCCATACAGACAATTGTCTACCTTTATATGGGGCCTTTTTCACACAACTTGACAGAGGCTGGATTCCAAATACTCCATTCTCCTAACTGTTACCAACTATTCCTATCATAGCCTCATCTCTTTTGGATTAGGACAGCAAAATCATCAGGCAGGTATTGTGGGTTTTTTCCTGTGTCCTCTAAAAATAGTTATTTGCATATACTGAGCAGCAACCACATACTATATATTGTGGAAACATTAATAATCTTTTCAATAACCCTAAAAAATAGTTTTCAATTTTCTAGTTTTATAAGATATAGACACTGAAGTCAAGGATTCCCTTGTTGGGAGTGGCTGAAGCTCCAAAATATACATGTAGGACGAAGCCAGCCTGAGAACACGGAGCTCCTCGAAGCATGCTGTTGCAGCTTGTGAACTGACTGCTAAGTAGAAAGGCTGCACCTAACAACCTCGCTAGGGTATAAATAAACACCCTACTGCTCTTGGGCAGTTCCTCTTCTTTGCAAGATAGAGGAGCTCCACCTGACCCAACTACTGTCTCTTATCTGTCTTTTCCTCATTCTTGTGCAGTTCCTTCCCAGGATACAGCAAGAACTAAATGGGTCCCTAAACTTCCTGGGAAGTCAGGGAGCTAGCTTTAAATCCTGGTCTGTGTATCTCTGTCAGACACAGAACAAGAGAGCCACCTATGCAGGCAAACACTAGCTCAGGTAAACAACCACACACCTGCATTGAGCAGCACTTTGACACAGTCCAGATGTTCCCGTGCACAGGCAACGTGCAGAGGGGTCCCAAAGTGGCAATCATGGGCTTCCAGATTGGCTCCAACATCTATAAGAAGCCTCACACATTCGGAACTCCCTTAAAATAAATGGAAAAGCATGAAAACATCCATGAATACATACATTAGAAGTAACAAGCGTAACAAATGGCAGCTGGAACAGGTTTCTATGTCTCTGGATGCATGGGACAGAAAGGCAAACATCCTATGCTCCAACCCAAGAAACAGTGTAGGAGCCTACAGAGACCTTGGGAAGGGAACAGGTAGTTCTCTGTTCCCCCAAGACATGGGAGTACTCCTGGCCACAAGGGAGCCAAAGAAGCATGACTGCTCTTTTTCTGTGAGGAGAAAAGGTTTGTGACACCTGTGGGAACAGCTGGGGAAGATTCTTGACCCCTCCCCTCTCTGAGGCTGTACTGTTTCTGGAGGAGTGTCCATGGGAATGAGGTGGCAACCCACTCCAGTCTCCTGGCCAGGACTTTTAGCTGTGCAAGTCACCCCTCAGTGCCTTTCCCACCTTTTTCCTAGCTCTTCTTCCCACTTCTTCAGTGCAGCTTTGGATCAAGGTTCAGGGCCTTGTGCTCTCTTCCTCACACATTCTCTCATCACATAATTTCCTCTTTGTTGTTAATAGCTACTCAATTTCTATCTCCCTGAAATCCAGCTCTACCTCTACAACTATGTGCTGGCCAGCTCATCTGTGATCACCACCCAGTCACTCTTCCCTCTTCCTAGGGCTCCCTGCTCCTCGAAAATCTCTTTCAGTCAGTGGCATCTGTCTCAGCTCCAACCTGGCTTGTTTTTGAGACCTTGTAGCTCTCTGTTATACCAAGTCCTAGTGATTCTCCCCCAGACACTTTGAATGAACCCTTCTCAAATGATCATACTATTTCAGATTCTGAGAGCTTTGAACCTGAATCATTTTGATGGCCGTTCACACGTCGACTCACCACTCATGCAAGCCTCATGAAGTGGGGATGCTGTGTACAATGGAGGATTCACTTTTGCCCCATAGGAGAGCAAGAGCTTCACACACTCGATGCTACCTGAGGCACAGGCATCACAGAGAGGGGTACTGCCATCAATGTTGCGGGCATCCACCTGGGTGGGGGGAGAAGAAACAAATGTCAAAGGGTGAGATACACATCGCACAACTTGCTTTCTCATCCTCCTGCACATTCACCTTTGAAAAGATACTTCTTAAAAGAGTCAGTTTGCTTTTATTTACTGAGGCACCAACTAGGCAAGGCAGTTCAAAAAGAAAGACACACAGCTGGGGTAAGGTCCCTCTCTGCCTCCCAAGTACAGGTGTCCCACCTGGGATTCTTATCTCAGGGAAGATCAGCTCAGCGACACTTTTACCACCAACCCAAACTTAAAAAGTGTAGAGCAGGAAAGGAGACCCTGAAGTTGATGGCTGGGGGAGACAAAGTCTAAACCAGTCTTAACTCAAGCCTCAGCTAAAAGGAATGTTGAAGCCTGCTTATTACTATAACTACTGTCTAAATCACAGGCTGGGGAAAAGGCAGCTCCCCATTCTGGAAAATTTCACTTAGAATTGATCTGAGTTCAGAATCAAAAAGAAAGAAAGAAAGAAAGAAAGAAAGAAAGAAAGAAAGAAAGAAAGAAAGAAAGAAAGAAAGAAAGAAAGAAAGA